AAGACTGACGAATACAAGGTCGAGAAGCCTTCCGTTCGCATTCACATATCGGTTAACTTGCTGCAAACCAGTAGCAAACATAGTTTCAGTGAGTGCCTGTTCATGCTCGGAAGAAGCGTTCAAGGGAATGAAACCATTTACACGGACGGCGACTTGCTCAAGGTGGTCACAATTCAACAGTGGAATAACCCCACAGTTGAGATGAGCTTTGACCGCAATTAATACTCCTCCTCCGCGAGAATGCTGACTAGTCAACGCACTACGATCACAACGGTAAAATGTATAGTCGGATGAGCACTATCAATATCGGCTCGAAGCCAAGTTTCTGTGAAGACGAGCACATCGTAGTCGCAGCTGGAAAAAAGCAAACGTAACTGCATAATTTTGGTTCGCATGCCTCTAACATTCTGATAGTACACAGAAATGAGGCGTTGAGAAGATGTTTTTTTTTTTTTCGTTTCGAATTCAGGAGCAGCGGGGGGATTATTGCCCTGGCATTGATGGGACGTTTTAAGGCTGACTGGGCTTGCTGTGCGGCCGGAACTGGAACATCTGTGATGCATCGACGTGTGGCTGAGTGGAAGTGAGTTGCTAAACTTATCGTCGAACTTCGAACTGAAATTGATCACAGAGTTTCGTGATTGTTTTTTTCGGCGATATTGATATACCTAACCACGAAGACTGAAGATTGAAGGTTAAAATCCAACTACAGACCCAGGTACTCAAGAAAACGGAACATCCATAAAAGTGGTCAATTCGTAAAAATGATCTAAATATTGATTTTCGTATGCTCATCTTATAAAAGTTGCGCACCAAAAAGCATAAAGGCATTTTCGGATGCCCATGTGGATTACCAGATTACATATTTTAGTTAGTGAATTTATCAAAAAACTGGTGAAACCTTTAAGAAGTTCTGATTGTTAGAAATGCGGGGAAGTTAAAAGATCTTTAAGCAAGGCAATCTAATAGATTTCAGGAAAATTTACTTTACAGCGAAGAGCTTTAGGGTAGTTCCATTAAATTCAGAAACCTAACAGTAATTTACATGAACTTCGGGTAAGTTCTGAAAATGTTAGGGCAATTCCATGAATATCAGGAAAACTGTGAGTACTTGTGGGACATTCCTAAAACTTTAGGTTCGTTTCGAGAACTTTATGGCAGTTCCATTTATTACAGTAAAATAAAAAAAAACATCAAGGAGTTCCGAAAATTTAAGGATAATAAAAAAAACTTCAGGGAATGAACTTAAGAACAGTAAGAAAACTGCACAGAAGATCCATGGAAGTTTGGAAATCTTTTGGGTAGTTCCATTAGTTTCTGAACAATTCCAGGAACATCATCAGGAGAACATCTAGAAAGTTCCGTAAACATCAGGAAACAATAGAGATCTTCAGAGTCTGAGGAATGAAAAGAAGTACTGAGATTTTCAGGAAGTTTTACAGGCTAACTGTGGGAACAAAAGGTAAGTTCCGAAAATTCTGGAAATTTTTGTGAACTTCAGGCAAACTTCAGGATTTTCAAATTGGTTTCAAAAACTTCAGGAAACTACAGGAACTTCCAAGAAAATTTTAGAAATTCAGGGATATAATTTCAGAGATGTGTAGATAACTTGAGGAAAATTGACATTTTAAAGAACTTCCAAGTACCGCAAAGAAGTTAGACTAGAGAGCTTAAGAAAATTTCAGAGATATTAATGGCACTTCCAATAACATCATAACTTCGTGAAATTCAATAAATTCCAGACTTTCAGGGAAGTTCGAAGATTTGTATGGGTAAGGTCCAATAAATTCCGGGCAATTTCATAAACTTCAGAAAAAACTTCTAGAATTATGTTGACAGTTCTATTTAGTTCAGGGTAATACCAAGAACTTCAATAGAATTGATAGTACTTCAGGAATGCTTCGACAGCAGAAGGACTGATCAGAGAAACTAAGAACAGTCCAACTAATTTCAAGGAAATTGAAGAACTAGAAGAAAACTAAGAAGTTCCAAGAAACTCAGGGAATTTCCGTAACTTTATCAGAAACTTCATCAAAGTACCAAGACCTTTATTGAAATTTCAGTAACATAAGAGATGTTACATGAGCATCAGGAAAATGTGCAGTTTAAAGAACTGCAAATCAATGCTTCAGCAACAATCAGATTATGTTCAAGAAAATCGCGAGATTTTTTAAAATGTTCAGAAATCTTCAAGAACGTTTAGATATCTTCAGAGAAGTATATAGGTTTCTTGGTAGTTTCATTATATTTTGGGAAGTTCTCGGAACTTCGTAGATGATTAGAGATCTTCATATCAGTTTCATTTATTTAAGGAAAATTGCAGGATATTTCAAGGAATTCAAAGGAATTATGGGATATTCCTAGAATTTCATGAATTTTGCGATGCTTCAGAAAAAAATGCGAGGTCTTCAGGAAATTTTAATAAATATGATTAAAATTTCCGGAACAATAGAAAAATTAATGAACTTCAGGAAAGATTCAAAACCTCACGGAAGTCCAAATAAAACTAGGTTTTTTAGGCGAATTGTCTACTTTTGTGGATGTTCAAAATCTTCTTGAATCTTGAATCTTTTTTATGAATTGATCACTTTTAAGCATAGTCCGGACCTCCCGAAAGACCGGGCTATGGCCAGCAGAGTTCGCATGCTGGTCCCAGATCCAAGTTCATTAATGTAGCATCAAAATAAGTGATTTAAAAAAATACGAAGCTCTAGGATCTTTTCTATGAATTGGCCCCCTTTACGGATGTTCCGGATCTTTCGAAGGACCGTTCCATGGCCACCAGAGTGCACATACTGGTTTCAAATCCAAATTCATTCATGCAACATAACAACAAGTTGATTAAAAAAAATCTAGATCCTTTTTTACTAATTTCCCACATTTATGGATGTTTCGGGTCTTCCAGAGGAATGCTGTGCTGTCCCTTGGGTTCACATTTTTGTCGCAGATACAAATTCATTCATATATCATAATTTACAAATGAACAACAAAACAAACATTTCATAGATAGCAACGCTTGGGCCGGTTGCTATCGCGCTGCTATATTTGTCAACCCGCTGTTCACCGAGAGGCAGATTGTTATTTCCCGCACATGAATAGCAACCCCCAGTGCGGTTACTGCGTTATGGTGGAGGTTGCTAAAATAGCTTAAGCAACGCATTGGTGCGGATGCTCTAATAGCAGATCAGTTTCATCAAAGAAACGCCGTTAGGTTGTTTATCTTGAGATGGAAGAGAAGAATCTCAGCTAGTTGAATGCTTCCAAAAGAGTGACCGAATACGAATGCCAAGTTTCGGACAACATTCAGCAGAAACCAGATCACTCAAAGATCGAAATCGAACATACCAATGCAAGAACAAAGACGCTGATACCACGAAACATTTTGGGTTGGGGTGCCGTATTCTAATAACAACAAATTCAAACTTAAATTTTATTATTTAATAACGTTAGCCGCGGACGTCAACCAAAACAAACGAATATATATATAATACAGTTAGAATAAATTAAGCCAACAAAATCAATGTCAATCAATGTTGCAATATTTTTGTAAGAAGATGGAGTACTCCTTCATTTCTTAGATATCGGATAACGGTTGGCCCTAAATTCGTGCCCAACGAGGAATCATTCTCGGAATCATATCTCTGCCGCTATCGAAAGCTTTCCATGATTTCGTTATTTTCAGCAATCTCCACTATTTCTTCCGCCTCAATAGTCAGCGGTGTTCTATCTTAGCACAGCTCTAGGCACAGCTTGTAGAGCGGATCAAATGAAAGCCTTTTGATATGGAACCGGACGGATACAGATATGCCACGCATTTCGCAATTGCAGCACAATTCTTGGATGATGATACGATATTCTTGGATGCTTCCTCTACTTCTGTAAACATTCATGGTGGTAAGAGATAATCTATGATAAAATATGCAGGGTTCCAAATCAGCTTTCAAGTTATAGTCAGCCAGCTAGTCAATATTATGGGACAGCCAGTTCTACGTGTTAATCAAATGGAAGTGGCCCATGATTGTGGGTGAACCACAATACTGGGGTGACTGACGCCAAATAAATTTGTCCATCTCGAGGATCAGATCAAGGAAACAAGAACGAGATAATTTCTCACACAAGCACATTGATTTCACACCAGGTTTAAGAGCGCACAATTAACAACTACACTATAAAAATAAAAATAAATGTTACTAGGATGAGAAGAAAACCGAAATTTAAAATACTTACAAGGGATGTCATATTACTTAACGAGTATAAGGACTAAAATTTAGAGTGGGATGCCCCTAGAGCTGGAATAATTGTGCAAATCTTAATGCAAAGAATAGCTTATGAAACAGAATTACCCAGACTATTATTATTTTAGAAGAATTGTTTATTGATTGCGTCTTAAAAACAATTTTAGTTAGGGCACAATACATATTTTCCAAGCAGTTATTGACATTCAGCATGCAGCCTTTGCAAGCCAAATCTTTCCGACTACTCCCAAACATCCTATCATGTAATGTTTCTTGTACATCGTGCAAGCAAAACATCGAGTTATTACTTAAAACACACTTACTGTGAAGATCCGAACAAATCTGCAATATCCGACGACGTCGGCGACGACGAAGATGATGCTGATGATGAGAGGGAGTGCGAGTGAGGGAAACGTAAAGAGCAACTAAAAATACACGCTCATACTACGAGATCCAAGCTGATCTAAGTTGCTTCGGTTCGCTTGATGGGCTCCTAAGCCTTCTATTATAAAAAAGAAAAAGAAAAAGAAAAAGAAAAAGAAGAAGCAACCCGAAGATCGCGCGCGCGCACACGAAGAAGAGATTCGCGCAACAACCCCCAAACGGCGGCAGCAACATCAATATGCCTTCTTCTCCTAAGCCTGCCTGACTCACTGCCTTGTAGCACATTCAGCCAAGTCAAGCCAAGCGCTGTTGTGGGGTGAGGAGGCTTAACTCTTCCTTTCATTTTCATCTGTGGGCTCATTCCGATGCTAGCCGTAGGAAAGTGCAGTCGATTCGCGCCGTAACGTCCGCCGCCGTAGTCTGTCTTGTTGTTCATTTTTCGTTCTGGCCGCCACTGGCCGCCTCACCATAATATACTCGCCTATTCAATCAGTGTGTGGCGCAATTCAGCATCACAATCGGTCCCCCTTTTATCGCGTTGGAGATTCACCACGGATCAGCTCGTGAGTAGAAGACGGTGCGGTAGAATTTCAATCGCGGAACGACGACTGCAAGTCGCTCCAAAGTGGATTGTGGAAATCAATTATTTCGACACCTGGAAGGCACCATCGGCGGTGGAAAATACAAAACAGTAGTGGTAGCAACTGCGGTAGTAGCAGCAGCAGCAGCAGCCTTGGAGGCATAGTTTTCTGTTTCAGTGCTTCAAATGGGAAAATCTGTGTGATAATTGTGTATCAAGCCAAGAAGAATCAAAACCGGTGGGAAACACTCATAGAGCAGTGAAACGACAATTAGTCAAAGCTCCCTTTTACACGGTGCAGTGCAGCGAACAAACACGAAAACAGTACATTGGAAAACACGGAAAATTGTGACCAAATTTTCTCACACGTACCACAAGTGCTTTTAACAACTGAAATTGTGCCTCCAGACTGCCGCCCGCCGGAAAGAACAAATTAATGCGATAATTATCAACAAACTAACCGCCGAACGAAACAAGCAATCGGAATCAAAGTCGTTCAAGCCGGCACACGCCCTAAGATCTAGATTAGCAAACGACAAGTGGTCTATCTACCGAACCAGTGTTGATGCGGCTCCACGTTGTCTGAGATCAGTTACGACTCGGACGGTGCTTAGAACGGTAGTCGCGCGCGCTCGTTTGGACGGAGATTGAGAGAACCCGAATTGAAGTGAATTTCTGTTTGTTTTGCCTTTGATTGTAAAGCTTTATTTTTCAGGACTTATTTTTATAGGATTACTCATTAGTTATCTTGACGGAGTGAATGAGAGCTCGTGAAGCGGTTGAAACATATTGCGCAGGAGAGAGTGAAGAGTGAATTATTGAATCTAGAAAAAAAAAACGCAAAACGCTGACTGAAAACGTTAGTGAAGAAGTGAATAATACCTCTCCAGGAGGGATTGGTTAATGTTGAACCTGCGGAAGGTCTGTTAAATTTCGACAAAGGACATCGGAAACCGAACACGACAGCAATGGACGCATCAGCAAAAATACTACTTTTCTCGGGTAAGTCGATGGTGTTCAATATTTGCAATTTGTTTCTAGCCATGACATGTTGGTAGTGGGGGTAAATCGAAAATCTGAAATTGCAACCGTCACGAAAAGGTGTAAGGTTTTGAACGCTTATAACTTTGTCATATATAGGTGAAATTAAAACCCAAACACACCAATCGACAGGAAATAACTCCCAGAATCTGCTACAGTAATCTAAAAGAAATGTTAAAAATTTACAAAATAAAAAGTTATAATTTTATCACTGTTTCAATGAAATAAATGTTCTCCCCAAACCAAGTCGTCATTATCGAGCACCATTTGGTTGCGCATCGCTTTGTTTGAACATGTAAAACTATATAAGAGGTCTGCTGTAGTTCCTCCGCTTAGGTAGGTTTCTGTGCTCAAGTAGGTAGGTTATCAAATTTATTAACTAGAACAAAGTTAAAGAGCCAAAGGCTAACCAATTGAAAGGTAAAACCAAATGTTGAAATTTAAAAAAACAGCAAATAAACGTAAATTTTACTACTACTTCCTCCGCTTATTAAAGCTTCGGACGGCGTGGCAAGCAGAAGCAGGAGCAAATCAGGTAAAGGTGGATTTTTTCCCTCTGCCTCTGCTGAACATTACCGCAGTCAGGCTAGAGCGCTGCTGTTGTGAATCCGCTCATTTTCGCATCGGACGGACGGTGCGGTAGAATAGCAGCAGTCAATGTGATAACGATGGGATTGAGAGGAAGTGGAATTTATGGAGATCGAACAGTTCGTCCAGTTGGACCACACATATTTTACAGAAAGAGTTATTGAGACTGTTTTTGGTCCCGTTCAAATAATATGAAACGCGACAAATGTTATTTTTATATAATAAACCCCCCGCAACGACAACCTAAAAAGAATTGACGTGAATTTTTTCACCCGTCAAAAAAGCCAACAATTCAAGTTGAAAGAAGATTTGCATGTCATGTAGCTACAAAATAGTGTAGAACATGTCTGGTACCTCTTTATATGCAATTAGATTAACATCTGAAGTCTATCCTTTTTTACATATTCTGCACAGAAGAAACTTTCTGTCCCGCCCCATTCATAAAAAAACGTCGAAAAATCCTGTCAGGGGTGGGGCTTAGAAAGTATTTTCTGTGCAGAATATGTAAGAAAGGAGAGTTCTGCAGAAAAAGGAGGGACTTCGGAAGTTGTAAACAAATTACAGATACATTACTGTAAGAATTGTCAAAATCCTAAGAATTAACACGCTAATGTTCGTGAGATTCTGCTTGAATTTAATTTTGATGATTTTGGGACGTCCCTGTGTTGAAGTGGGATCCAGAGGGACGGTAAAAATGCAGTTACATATTTAAGTAGAGCTTTACATTGTTGTTTGTTACAAAATTCATGCACCAAGTGGATTAGCGCGTTTCTGTGTTTTTAATTCGGTTCGGTCCAACACAAATTAAACTTCTGAAAATGGATTGGAGCGTCTTTCTGTAAATGCAAGAACGGCAAAGAGATAAGATATATTTCCTGAATACTTGTAGTTCAAGCTCCTCATTACGTGCTTAAGAGGCGGATAAATTTGGACGTTAAGCTGTCCAATGAACATTTTTAATTATGATCCTGCTTGGATGGACGAATTTTTGATTGCTTGAAATAGCAAATTATGATTAAATATTGTACATGGACCAAACTTTCTAATTTTGTGAAATCACAACTCTGAATATCCAATAACGCTGATTATGCTGATGGAAAGAAAGTGAGGGGGCAATACCAAGTAACCAACAAGCACATAGCATATGTGGAACTCGGTCATCAAAAATCGACCCCATTTCAGTGATTTCAAGTGGTATAGAAAGACATCGATCTGTCAAATTGATTACAGAGGAAATGGCTCTAATGTTGGCCTATGGATCTAAGATTGGGCCCATCGCTAAAAATATACTATTTATCAATTTTATCTAGATGAACGCGCCATTGGGACGGTACTAATGGATATTTTTGGCCGCTATTGAAAATTTAGTCGATTGCTGCATATATGTATGGGCCCAAATTAGGGTCATTTAGGCCGACATTACATCCATTTCCCCTACCAGGTGTAAAATGAAAAAGGAATCAAGGGGGTAGTCAATTGTATTAAAATAATAATAACCTGGTTTATAATTCTATGACTTCTTAGCACTTCTGAACTTATGTCTTTGTTTATCGTTAACTATTTACGTCCTCTATATATAACTATATTGCTGGATTTAACAAATTCATCACGTTGCTGTACACAGGAAAAAAATTATTAACGTTTGCATTTAAAAAAGTAGACATTATTCGCCGATATTTAATGCAATGACCTGCCACCCAACGATGGATCCTGATATTTCATTGTAAGCTACTATATGCTTACTGTTTACTGCCAAATTTCGCAAAAAAGTGAGGAAACTCCACGCGAATAATTGTCTACTTCTTTGAAATTTAAATTCGCGCGCGTATATTTTTTTCAATTTTTTATCTGTATCTTTTTTTCGTTAAACTTTTTCTAACTGATTGGAATCAATTGCTTAAAACTTTGATTTAATTTGGATTCGTATGAGGAAAAATGCGATCGCGCAAACTAAGAGTTTACTGCATACATTTTGAAGGCCAGTGAGAAGCAGTAAAATTTTGAAACAAGTGTCTCGGTTTATGCGGAAAATATACAGTGTCTTTTGCAAGCAGGACGATAAATCAAATCGAGCGCTTCGATACCTGTAATACCCATGGATTCAACCCTTGATATGTTTCTCAACTGCGGCCAATTGATTTTTTTGCTCAAATCCCAACACAAAGATCTACTCCAATTACTTTGTACTAAAAAACGTGGAAAGATTGATCAGGATCAAACTTTTTTCCACCACTATGGCAGAGATCCCAGGCCGGGACTCCCAGCTAGTTGTCTCAAAATTACCAGGAACGGCTATTTTTTCTAGCAACATTAAGCACTATTTAACAAAAGGAAGGTAATCGTTTGGATCTATTTCACGTAAGGTAACTGCACCAGTTTTGACACTAGTGTAGTGGTCCAGTTTTTGGCACTAAGGCCTAAATCAAATTTGAAATAAATTTTCATGATTTAATTTGCGTAGACTTATGGCAAACCATATGTATCTGTATCGAAAATAAAAACAGAAAATAATGTAAAAATGTGAAAATTACGTTAGGGCCAATTCGAGGACCTAAAGTGCCTAAATCTGGCACATTTACCCTAATTTTATCGCTAGCATTTGACGTGACGACATCTGTGATTTCTATATGGGGGTACACTTTGTGAAAACCGAAAATGGAACATGTAACGAAATTATGAAAGATTTTGAACGTTAATAACTCAGCTGTCCCTGGACCAATTTCAATAATTTCATCACCAATCGATCAGAAATATTTCTACGCATTGATCGCAATGCTTTTGACTGTTGAAAAATGGTAAATGTCAAGCATTGTTCAAAAGCGTCCAAATAGCTTACAAATCCACCAATTACGTACATGCATATACTGCTTCCCCAACACAGTCCTCAGAAAATCGTTTCTAGACGAAATATGTCGATGTAGCATTGCTGCTTCCCCATCACTGTCATCAGAGAGTCGTTAGTAGACGAAACAAGTCGAAGTGGCATTCGCCTCCGATCTTCGGGCGAATAGGGAGGATGCAATTGCGTGACATTTTGCATACTCATCACCATATTCAGAACCACACGCCCCCAACAAACACACAAAATGCTATCTAGAGTTATACTCTTGTAACCAAACTTGGAAGCAGTGGTGCAAGTGATTTTGATCCATTCTCTTCATCGACTTTCTGTTTCGTTAATAACTCGACGGCAAACATATTCATTGATACGTTTGTTGTTCTGGATGATAGAAGAGCATAGCAGAAATAGTTCGAAATAGGTTAGTGAAGCTATGGTCATCAAAAGAGGAAATCGATTAAGATAATTGACTTTCACCACTCTGCTTCTAAGCCCCTTATTTCACCGCTTTTGGTTCTTGGGTTACACTTGCTGTTTGCAATTCTGCAGTTCGACATTTTCGAAGGACCATCAAAAAACTATTTTCTAGGGATGCCCAAAATTCAGATTATTTGATTAACGATTAATCGTAAAGGTTTTTCCACGTAACCGACATCCCTTCTTATTTCTACTCGTTTGATTTAGCGCAGTAGAGAAAATAAATAAAAGTACTAATGTATCTGAACAGGCATAGAGAAGATCCATAACGTAAAACAGGATCTTAAATTCGTCAAAAAAAAAGTGTTAAGCGTCTGTCTGCTAAAAATCTGCTAAGAAGCTTTAGCTGGGTGGATTCATGAATCATGTCCGATTGACAAGGGACAAAACCGTAAAAAGAGGAAGAACTTCAGCTGATATGCCCTTAATTGTTGCTTTCGGCCTTATAGTACCTAGCTGACCGAAGCTCCTGCTGCAGCTAACAAATAACATTTATGATATAAGACCACGTAGTCCTACGTCACCATTGCGTACAACCCCATAGGGCTGTTCCTTATAGTTTTTTCTAATTATAAGAATATCTGAGTTTATTCTATCACTGTTTGACATATCTGTGTGCTCTAACTCACTATCATTAGATTGTCTGTGGAAGGTTATCAATGATCCCCATGGTAGTGATCACTTACCAATTATTATTTCAATCAAAAGTGATCGTCTAAAAACAGATCAGTCAATTCAAGTTCCTTTTGACCTCACGAGGAACATTGATTGGCAAAAATTTGTATCGACGGTAACTCTTGGTATTGATTCTACCGATCCTCTACCACCACTGGAAGAGTATCGTTTCTTTACCGAACTAATCTACAAAAGCGCATTAGAAGCTCAGAAACGACGTGTTCCAAGTGCATCCCTCAAAAGAAGACCCGCCACCCTTGGATGGGATGACGAATGCACAAAGTTGTATCTTGAGTAATCCGAAGCCTTTAAAGATTACCGTAGACATGAAAGATCTGAGCTTTTATAAAAGTATCTAAAGCTTGAAAAAAAGCTTAAAAAC